AAACTTAGAACTTTCAGTCTGCAGGCCGACTCTCTATCCACTGAGCCAAACCGGTTAGGGCTCATTATATATTTTAAAAATGTATTAAGTTCATTGGGGTAACATTGGTTAATAACACTTTGTTTCAATAGTAAAATTTATATCATCTATATATTGCACTGTGTGATCACCACCAAAATCTAGTCTCCTCCCACCACTGTTACCGTAAGTTTGACCCCTTTAACCCTCTTCATCCTCCTCCAACTCCCATCCCCTCTGCTAACCACCTTCTGTTCTTCGAACCTGAGAACTTTCAGTCTGCAGGCCGACTCTCTATCCACTGAGCCAAACCGGTTAGGGCTCATTATATATTTTAAAAATGTATTAAGTTCATTGGGGTAACATTGGTTAATAACACTTTGTTTCAATAGTAAAATTTATATCATCTATATATTGCACTGTGTGATCACCACCAAAATCTAGTCTCCTCCCACCACCGTTACCATTAGTTTGACCCCTTTAACTCTCTTCATCCTCCTCCAACTCCCATCCCCTCTGCTAACCACCTTCTGTTCTGTCTGAGTCTGTTTTGTTAGATCATTTGTTGCCTTCTGTTTTATATCCCATATATGAGGGAAATCATATGGGTCTTCACTCAAGTCACGTTTGAACTGCTTTTGCAATGTGTAAAAAGCAATTTTACTTTTAAACAAACCACTAAAACTATCAGAATTTCCTCCACTCTAAGGTGGTCCACTTTGTCCATAACAACCCCTTCCCCTCGCGGCCATCTCCGTGTCTCTCTGCTCTTTCTTCCTTGACCCAGAGCAATAGATAAAAACATGTCCATGCAGCCACCTCGCACTGGGTCCCCTGAAAACGGAACCAAACCGAGAGGGCAGTCCACCTCCAGGGATCACCGGGTGGCTGGGCAGAGGTGGGGTTCCTGCCCTTCGCAGGCACGCATACTCACGGAAACAATCTGGCTCCGTATTTCTTGCAGGTGATTTCGAAGTACCTTCATGTCCTTCGACCCAGAAGCCCCCGCATCCAGAACAAACAGCTTATTTGAAATGTGAAGATCATTCCCAAACCTAGGAGGGAAGCGCAGGGGCCTCATTAGAGCCACGCGGTCTCGCCAGGTGTTCCCTCGGCCGGGCCCAAGGCTGGTCGGAGGCCAGGAAGTCCTGGCAACCTTCAGAGGGCCCCTCCCTGCTGTCCGCCGGGCTCCGTAAGGTCACACGGGAGCAGAGGCCTGGAGACACCGTGTGCTTCCAGTCACGCGGGCAGGCACCCCGGGCCCCACAAAATGGCAGGAACACGGTGCAGAAAGATATCAGCTGCCCTGATGCAGGAAAGATGAGGCTCCATGTGCTCACCTTACAGGTTACGAGAAGAGATGCTGTTGCAGTTGATAGAGTAAGAACAGAGGGATGGGCATGAAAGGTACAACTCAGATCTAAAAACGTTAGCAGAAGCCCTATTTTCACATCAGGAAGAAAAGAGGTAATGTCTTCAGTTGAGAGGAGTGGAGTTACTAGCACACTGCACAGAGCTGCAGGTTCAAGTTTTCTGTTGACAGGTACTAAGTAGAAAAAAAGGTAGGTTTACAGCTGTGAGTGCAAAACACAGAGTTTATTCTTGCATTATTATTATTTACTAATTGCTGTATTATTTTCCATATGAACAACTGTAGGCCGACTTTTGCCCTGCTCTGTATTTTTAACAGGGGACCCTGGGCGCATCCATATTTATAAGGGAAACAAAAGCTTTGCAAAACGACTGGATGGTAAGTGCATTCTGCTATTCTCTGTCGGACTCCTCCCCACCCCATTTCAGAGAGTTGGTCAGGACCCCCTGAGTGAATTTCATAACCCAGTATTTTTAAAAAAATATATATTTTATTGATTTTTTAACAGAGAGGAAAGGAGAGGGATAGAGAGCTAGAAACATTGATGAGAGAGAAGCATCAATCAGATGCCTCCCGCACACC